ACATCTTTTATTATTATTATTAATAATAGTAATTAAAGTATAATTATAATAAATTTATCTTATACAAAATAAGATTTTAAATAAAATTAAACAATATATAAAATAAACCTATTTGATATTATATTTATATATAATTTACAATTTGCGTACTTCTCCGGTAAATGCATTGTATTCCATTTGACAGTCGTGTATGATAACACAGTACAGTGTAGTTTTAGCGGGAAATTGATTTACACATTCGAAATCCAAACGTAGATCCACTGTGGACGATTTGACGGTTTCGTTTTGTTTCGAACAATCTATGACGAATATGGGTCCGATTTTTTTGTAGTTGACCCGATCCAAATAAGGGTAAGGGTTCAGCCGACCGTAGTACATTGATTGAAATTGTGCGTACGAGTTATAAAATATCGCATACTTGCCTTTGTCAAAATCTGCATTTTGGTTTTCGTACGGGTACTCGTCCGCGTTCAAATACGCTTTAATGTTGCGCAGAGAACAATGGTTGAAATTTCCGTGTACCCCATCGGATTCCGTCACCATGGCTATGAGTAAATACCTAGGTTTTTCAACACCTGAGTACGCACGCACCGGCCACGTATGAGTGATTGTTTGCGGAACCAGTGGGTATACTGCAGTGTCCCAGTGTTGAAACTCTAACGGTAACCATTTTTTATTATCCAATATATGCATTAGACCCAATTCCGTTTTTACATTCGGTTCGAAATACTTCACGACCCATTTAATTTTTGTAATATTCACTTTCGTCTGTTTAATTAACGCAATATTACTTTTGGACATAACTTGTTCTTTTTGCGCTTCTGTTGGTGGTACGAGCATTATAGCGGAACTGTCGGTGCCCGATCGTATCAAAATAAGTGTTTGATTGCAGTTCACTAATGCACGCCGGTATCGTTCGAAAAATCCCATACACATGTACAGCGGACATTGTGCTACGAATTCGTTGTCATCCATGAAGTCTTCGTCTTTGTATAATTTATTTTCGTTTTTCCATCCAGCTGGTTGTAACCGTACGATATCGTTAGGCGTGAACGAACAGTATCCTTTCATAGTCGTAGTTACACCAACATTTTTTGTTTTATCAATTGTCTGATTGTTAATTTCAAATCTAATTTCATCAAAAAGATTCATCATAGAATTTTGATTCATTACTACTGTACCCACGGCTGCAACCGGTTTTTCAACTTTCCCCTCGATCTGCAAGTAACTTTCGCATGGTATAGTGAATTTTTCCTTATTACGC